ATGCGACACGATATCCGCAACTTTAACGCCAATAGGGTTAAAAAAGCGATAGAGCGGAACCAAGGCTCCAAAGTGTTCGCTAGGGACATGTCTATTGGGCAAACACAGCTGACGAAGCTGAAAGCGGAGGATGGCAGTGTGGCGTCGACAAAGGCCGAAGTTTTGGGTGAGATCGAGAGGTTTTATGGACGGATGGAGCTATACACATCGGTCACTAAACCTGTTAGCTCAGTCGCCGATCCAAGAGCTAAACTCACCCGACACTATACCGAGGATATCCCGGACATCAGCCTATACGAGATTAGGATGGCCCTCAAGCAGCTCAAGAACAACAAGGCGCCGGGCGAGGACGGAATCACATCAGAGCTTCTGAAAGCGGGCGGAACGCCGGTACTGAGAGTCCTTCAGAAGCTCTTCAACTCCGTCATATTCGAAGGAGCAACGCCGGCGGCATGGAGCAGAAGTGTGGTGGTACTATTCTTCAAGAAGGGAGATAATACTCTACTGAAAAATTATAGACCCATCTCACTTCTGAGCCATGTCTACAAGCTATTCTCGAGGGTCATCACAAATCGTCTCACACGTAGGTTCGATGACTTCCAGCCTCCCGAAAAAGCCGGTTTCCGGAAAGGCTATAGTACCATAGACCACATCCATACGCTGCAGCAAGTTATACAGAAGACCGAGGAGTATAACTTGCCACTATGCTTGGCGTTTGTGGACTATGGGAAGGCTTTTGATTCGATCGAGACTTGGGCTGTGTTAAGATCTCTCCAGCGGTGCCATATTGACTTTCGGTACATCGAGGTTTTGAAGTGCTTATACACAAACGCCACTATGTCGGTCCAAGTACAAAACCAGAGCACGAAGAATATTCCTCTGCAGCGAGGTGTAAGGCAAGGAGACGTCATATCTCCGAAACTGTTTACCGCTGCATTGGAAGACGCTTTCAAGCTCTTGGAATGGAAAGGATCTGGCATCAACATCAACGGCGAGTACATCACTCACCTCCGGTTTGCCGACGACATTGTAGTCATGGCAGAATCGCTGGAGGATCTGAGCACAATGCTCGATGACCTCTGTAGAGTTTCTCAACAGGTAGGGCTCCGAATGAACATGGACAAGACGAAAGTCATGGCAAACGTCCATGTCACGCCCTATCCGATATCAGTTGGGAGTTCTAACCTCGAAATTGTTGACGAATATGTATACCTGGGACAAGTGATCCAGCTAGGTAGGTCCAATTTCGAGAAGGAGGTCAATCGTCGAATCCAACTTGGATGGGTAGCGTTCGGGAAACTACGCAACATCTTCTCGTCCAACTTACCTCAGTGCCTTAAGACGAAAGTCTATAATCAATGTGTGTTACCAGCGATGACCTATGGAACTGAAACGTGGTCTCTTACTGTGGGCCTTATAAAGAAGCTCAAGGTCGCTCAGCGCGCTATGGAGAGGGCTATGCTCAGAGTTTCTTTGCGAGACCGTATAAAAAACGAGGATGTCCGCAAACGAACAAAGGTTTCCGACATAGCCCAGCGGATTAGTAAGTTGAAGTGGCAATGGGCAGGGCACATAGCGCGTAGAACCGACGGCCACTGGGGCAGAAAGGTTCTCGAGTGGAGGCCACGTACCGGCAAGCGCAGCGTAGGACGTCCACCCGCAAGGTGGACAGACGACCTGATTAAGGTCGCAGGAAGCCGCTGGATGCAGGTCGCTTCCAACCGGCCTATCTGGAAGTCAATGGGGGAGGCCTATGTTCAGCAGTGGACGTCCTATGGCTGATATGATGATGATATTTTACATAATCACTAAGCAATATTGAAAATCCCGGAACAATTACTCTTTGTGTGACACACAAATTGTTTTTACAGGTTTGAGCGTATTGTGTATGTGAAATTCTTATGAATTCTTGTGAAATCTTTGTGAACGCACACACGAAATAGAAGAAAATAAAAAACAATTAAACTCTGCGTATTCTTTGTTTGCTTTTTCTGCTTATTTTAGTAAATCGTGGTAATTCGGGACACAATAGATGAACAATTAGTGCACGAACCGCCCCGCCGCGCCCGCGTTGAGGTTGGTAAAATAAAAAATCTAGTTTTCTTGGTGTGTACATAAACTAAGCAAGTACCTTAACTTTAATGTAGGTAAAGTCACATTTTTACTTGCCAAGTTTCATTTATGAGAAGCAAGCGCCTTAACCTTCGGGCCGCCACAATATCACGTACCACCTACAATTAAAGTTTGTTTTTGAATTCACTTACGTAAACACTACTTATTGTTTTTTCCAAACAACACATTTTGCTTCCGTTTTAGGTAGGTACTTTATTATTTAATATATTTAAGTATATGATTTGACTGACTAAAAGAAGAAAAAATAAAGGTATAAAAAATAATACATACCTATTTGTTAACTTGTCTAGAATTCAGATATTTCCAGAAAGATAAATATCATGAAGTCCCTGTTTAGCCACGGCCGCGCAGAATGTATGTTTTATTTCGCCCAGTCCTCCTCTCAACATTAAAAATACAACATTAGAGTTACAAAATATCTTTAGTTTTTTTATGTACCTAATAATAGGTCGGCACACGAGCTGACGGATTACCTGATGGTAAGCAATCACGGCGAATATGAACACCCGCAGCGGAGGAGTAACAAACGCGTTAACGACCTTTTAGGGGTAAGGATTTTGGAGATTTAGCCCTGGCCTGAAGCTGGATAAGAAACGGGGTGGTTTTCAGTCAGTAAGAGTCTGACACACAATCTTGGCCCACCCAAAAAACCTATCGAGAAATGTGCTTACTATATTATAATACAAAAATACCTAATAAAAAAATAATAATTAGGTGCACTTACACAATATAATAAGTGAGGCAGCAGATGTCACTAATTTTATTATTTTTTTACATTTATTTTTGGGGCAGAATGAGATTGCAGAAGCCTTTAGGCCACAATCAACTTTTTTTAATAACTACCTAATATTTGTAAATTTCGCTAATAATAATAAGACTACGCTTCCATCAATCGTTTTAAAACTATATTTAGTCAATCCATACTCCTAATCCTCCTACACCCATAGGTACCTAAGCAGATAACAAAAGAATAACTTTAAAAGAATAACTTTTAATATATAAATATTATAAAAACTTTATAATAATATTAATTAAAATTATATATTACCTCTTTATAATATTTATTATATAATATTTATAAAGAGGTAAACTTTTGTTTTTTATAAGTTTGTATGCAGGGGATAATCTCTGTAACCATTTAGTTCGGATTTTGATAATTCTTTTATTGATATATAGCTGTAAGAGTAATATAAGCTTTAAAACATCACGCTACTGTCAAAGGGAACCGAGCAGTGGGTAAAACCAGCCGCTGGCCAGCTGGTGGCGAGAATGGCTAATATATCATAATTTAATTCACAAAGTAACTTGAGGCGTTAAGCTTAATTCGGCCTTTTTTTCGTTCTTAATGCTTAGCTGACTGAAAAATGTAAGGAATGTTTGTATATCAACTTGCATGCACCTTCGACTTCCTGCTCTAAGTCTATTTTTAAGCTAACCTCGATGTCTATTTTTAACGAACTTAAAAATAACTGAATTAATGTTCTATAAATATGTTTTACCTACAACTTGTTTGCCACGGATTCGCTTGTGTTCAATATTTTTTAACAGAGTTACCGCCTTAGAGTTGCTTGGTCGGATTAAAAATCTTCTGCTTTGAGTTGCCTTATACAAAAATAAATAATTTATTGGATTAATAATTTAATCCAGTCTTATTTAAAGCTATAATAATTTGTGTAGAAAAATATTTATTTAGTATTGAGAAAAGAAAATCGATACATATGTGTCTAGTTCGCGTAGAATAGGTTGGTACTTTTATATAACATAAAGTAAATGGTTTGAATAAACAAAAATGCCTTACTATGCACTGTCAGATCAAAACGAAATCCAATAATGATGTCGTTTACGCGGGGCAAACACCAAAAATCTAAAATATATCCTTTTTTCTTTATGTGATAGATAGATGTCCCACCAGGGGCCCGAGTCTACTATTTTGAAAATATCGTCATTCTAACACGATTCCATTGTCTTTTTGCTAAAAGTATCGGTCGTAATTGAATATGGTACGAGCTGTCTTGTAACGAATTATAAACAATAATATTCTAATCGTAAATCACTGATTATAGGAAATGTTACAATTAAGGTATATTAATTTACCGCATTATGTAGTACGAGATTACCATTCTTAATAAAATCTTTTAATGAAGCTCCCCAGCTTCCCTGTAAAGTCGTAATGACGCCATCATGTTAGTAAATTACCAAACTTGCCAGAATCAATAATTTTGAAATCAATGATCACATATTCTGACACTATTGTAATAGCAGACTTGAGGCCCAGACGGATAGCAATAGTCAAGCAATCAGCGCCACCCATTCACACCAGCAACACCGGAGAAGTTACGTTGTAGGTGTTTTGGGGAATAGGATTTCGCAGGTTTAGGGAGTAAGTTATAGGGGAAGGAAACCAAAACTCACTCACAGGGCGAAACACAAAGCTGTTGTTGTTTCACACCAGTTCACTATAAAGACTCTAATCGAGCCGACCCATTTGTGCCGATGCACGGCTCTCCCACATTTGAAATGTTAAATGTTTATCTTGTTTTAAATGATTTAATTTTTTTCACAATATTTTTATTATTCTATTTTTATTTATAGTAGCGTAATATTATAGGATCAATAACCAAGATTCACATCCAGCACATTTTTTACTACTCAACGGTCAGGTTAACAAAATAAAACTTCACATAATTAATTGTAAAACTTTTGAAAGTCAAATAACAAACAAACAAACACAACGTTTAGCTCGGTGCGCGTATTATATAAATACGGATATATTTGTGGCCACATAAAATAATGGCAAATGCACGTATGCAGGTTTATTTAAGATAACGCAGCTCTTCGTGCCGCAGTAAAGTAGATAGTGTCGAGGCTGCAACTATGTTCGTCGAGGTACTTCTCGTATATACCGTGGTCATCATCGCATTGACTCTGGCTCTGTACCAGAAGACCACGAATGCAATATGCACGTCAAGAAGAAGACTGGACGGCAAAACGGTAATAGTGACTGGAGGAACAGCTGGAATGGGCCTACACATAGCTACAGACCTGGCCCATAGAGGAGCTAGAGTGATAGTCGCCTGTCCCTTCGAAGATGAAGGTACTAACGCTAGGAAACAGATAGTGAAAGAGACTGGCAACGAAAACGTGGTATACAAACACCTCGATTTGGGATCTTTACAATCTGTGAGACAATTTGCGGCAGACATCTTGAAGAATGAAGACAGACTGGACATTCTACTGAACAATGCTGGAGTTGGTATTCCTGGAGACTTCCTGACTTCGGATGGATTGAACTTTATAATGCAAGTAAACTACTACGGAACATTCCTATTGACATTACTGCTCATCCCTCTTTTAAAGAAAACTGGGCAACTCGGTGAAGCGAGCAGAATCATAACAACAGGGTCAGTGCTACATCGTATTGCAAAAATGGAACTTGAAAATTTAAATAAAACGAATTATTGGAATATAATTAGAATATATGGTAATAGTAAGCTATGTATCATCTTATTCGCTAATGAACTATCCAAACGATTAGAATGTTCTAACATCGTGGTTAACAGTGTTGATCCAGGGTACGTTGGCACTAGGATATTTTATTCTGTAAACAAAATTGCCGGATTCATTTTAACATCGATATCGATATTATTCTTCAAAACGCCATGGGAAGGTGCACAGACTGCTTTACATGCTATTTTGGATGAGAAAGCTGGGGAAGTGAGCGGAGCGTACTTTATGAACTGTAGAAAAATTACACCTTCAAGACAAGCATGTTGTGATAAAACTGCTAAAGCTCTTTGGAACGAATCGGTGAGGTTAGTGAAATTAACTGAGGATGAACTAGAAAAGTGTTTTATTAAGTAAACTAACCAATCTATAAAATTATGAAAGTGTACAGGTTGGTTTTAACCTTTGATTAAAATAACAACAGTTACCTCTTATTTTATATACAGGGAAATGGTTTTATTTTACAACATTGAATACCTATCTACATGAAAAAATAAAAGCTACTGAAATAATTTGTGTTAAATTATTAGTATTAGCAGACCCTTTTTCCCTTAGTTCAAGTTTTCTGAATCAGGTGAGTTAAATCGAATGTAAACACAATTACAACCTAACGTTCCAATTAATATTTCCATAACATATTTTTCCCTCACACAGACACATACACGATTGTCAGTCCTGACCGAATCATATCATATCCAGACTATCCATGGACTAATAAACAGCGGAGGAAATATTGTGATGGCACAAGTTGAATGTAAGCACAGACTAGTACACCCTGTATTCCGACCTCACGAGTCGGACCTCACGTACATATGTTCCTCACGATTTCTATCCCGCGAGGTTGTTTTCTCCCCAACAATTTTGCATGCTAATCGAAATAAGTAGGTACGAGGTATCTCGCAAATGTAAATAAAATTGAATTTATAAATTTTCTTCAGACATTATTATGTGTATTCCATATATTAAGTGTACAATAATTACTGAAACAGAATTAGTAAATGCGACATTTTTTTTAATCATATGAATATATAAAAGTCGTTGCCACTTTTCATTATAATGTTATAACTCAACAATGCTTTTATTGCTTGGCTAATTTTGGTCCTGATTTACCTAGTCGGAGTCCAGGGAAGCTTTAAAAGGTCAAAACAATTAGTTGTATGTATTTGAGGCGGTACGAGTTCGCCAGGTCAGCTAATCTCTTTTTATAAATTAAATCATCAATATGCCACTTGTCCGGAATACCAGTTATCCAGTCTTTATTAATATCTATACAAATACCTATACTACTAAAAATCTAACTAAGTATCAAAATGCTAAAATTAGCATTTATAACAAATTTAATCTAATATACATATCTATTTTTTGCTTTCAAGGTTATCAAATGTTATTTTTAGCTATCAATGTTAACGGAAATTTAAATATAGTATCTCTATGTCTATTTATAAACCCAATTTACATTTGTGCATTATTAAATTCCTAAAATAATTTAGCATAAAAAATACTGGTGTCTGTCTAAGTACTACACGTTGCGAGTGCCAGTGCAATAGATAATGCGCCGCGACTTCGGCCCGGAGCAGGAGAAGGAACGGGGTGGATTTTAGTCAGTAAAAATCTGACTCTCTTTCGCCTCTCCAAGAGCGGGAGAAGTAAAATGATAGATTTACCAGCTCCAAAAAAAAACTCTTAAGTATTGCGCACATTATGTGAGTTCTAAATTCTTATACAATTTTAACATTAAAATTGTTACACCTTGTATCAACCTCTAATGAGTAAATAAGTAAAAAAAATTAAAAAGGTGTACAAAAACAATTTTGTACCTACATAGTAGTTTTTATTTTATTTGGGACAGAAAACGCATGCGATCAATTGAAATTAGCGGCTTGTTTAAGACAAGCTGGCGAGAAGTACGATTTTTTTATGTTCCTCTTTGGAGTATAAATAACAGAGAGAAGCCGGTAATCACCAGGCTCAGAATGCTACAATAGGTTTCGTGGCTCATTATAAAATAATCTGCAACAACGACACCATTGATTGGGAGCAGATGTTATATTTGCCATAACATGATGAGTCTGATTAGATATAAGAAAAAATGTTACAGTATAGAATTTCTGGGGCAGAAAGGTTCTCGAGTGGAGGCCACGTACCGGCAAGCGCAGCGTAGGACGTCCACCCGCAAGGTTGACAGACGACCTGATTAAGGTCGCAGGATGCCGCTGGATGCAGGTCGCTTACAACCGGCCTTTCTGGAAGTCAATAGGGGTGGCCTATGTTCAGCAGCGGACGTCCTGTGGCTGATATGATGATGATGATTGAATTTTTGTTTAAGTCATTGACTGCCGACAGATTACAGTTGAGGGCAATCCTCCGCTAGCGTGGCCCACATGTTGTCCCCCATGGCGTTCAACGTGAACGTTAGAAGAATTTTGTTTTCGTATTTTTTTCAGGGAATAGTATTTTTGTTGAGCTTGATCATTATGTGTTATTATGTTTTAGTAACTATGGTTGCTGCCGTTAATAAAACTAGAAATCATTATAAAGCTAAATTAACAGCTCCTAACATAATATTATTTATTTGTTTTAATTACATTTCCCAATTTTTGTAATAAATTTAATATAAAATGTGTGATTTTTGCCTATTTTTGGAGTGTTACAACTGTCCCTCATGACTGGTACAACCGTCCCTGGTATGGGGTCGGTGGTAACAATCGCCTTTACTTATTAATTTTCGAAACCCTAATCCCCAAAAGGCCGGCAACTCGTAACGCGGATGTCTAATGGTGGCGTCGATTGCTTATGGTTTGCCGACTTATCACACAAAAAGGAAACAATGTTTTTAGGTTTAATGTCTTTAGTCAACTAAGAACCGTTATAGTTTCGCCATGTCTGTCGGTCTGTCCGACCGCGGATAATCTCAGTGAATGTAAGCACTAGTAATCTGAAATTTGGCTAAAAATTAAAAAGTAAAAAATAATATTTTACAACCTTACACGTAATACATAGGTAGTGCTTTATTTTTATTTTGACCCTATCGTGCTGCCTTTTGTAACATAGGTATTAAAAAATGAACAGGGTTTTTTTACGATATATCTAACTTGTAGAAACAATGAAACAATGAATTTATTTTTGCAAATAGGCCATAAAACGGCACTTTTACACGTCAATTTATATGTGAAAAACTAGATGAAGCTGGCATTTCCTATCTGACTACTCTGAGAAGAAATGCCGAAACAAACTCAGAGGTCAGTCTCTTTTCAAGTCCAGACAATGTAAAAATAACATAATGTGAGAGAATCGTGCAAGTTCATTCTGTAGTGGTCTTTTGAGGAAAGAACCACACCAGTTTAAGTGGACCCGTTCTGAAGACAGGCACGCAAGTGTCAGTTTGCAACCAGTATAGCTAGTGCTGCTGAGTTGTCCGACGAACAACACCGATCTAAAGAACATTTGGGTGGGTCGCGCAAGTACTCAAACTGTCAGAACGCAGATAACTGGTAATCAAAAAGCACGGCAAGTCTCACACGGTCCTTACACTAACAATAATATAAAATAATAAAAATGTCAATAAATAAATAAAAAAAAATGACAAATAAAAAATAAAATGTCACAATAGGTGATTATGTCATTGTATAAAAAAAGAAAAGATCTCAAAAGAAGAACTTTATGAATAATATTTTGGACTTGATGAGTTGAATAGTTTTTGTATAATATTTCAAATATTGTACAAAAAATCAGAACTATTTTTATTTTAACCGTACCTGCAAGCATTTTTTTAACTTTGTTTGTTTATTTTATTATTCGTAAAGTATGCTCCTTCAAATGAAAAGCAAAGGTTTATAAAAATGTTACCACAATCCAAAATTACCACAAAAAACGTAGCATACATAACCCGTCTAGTTTGTAAAAATTAGTAACCCAATTTCCGGAGATGGCGTTTAACTTTTGTTTCTTTCGTTAAATTGCAGTGTTGGGGTCGGATCGGACGCTACCGTCCCGTGTCCTGATAGACGGGAACCGTACACTAAGCCTTTTATAGCCCGATACGCTCCTGTTTTTTATTTGACTTTATTTATACTGAGAATGAAAGTTTTGAAAAAGTAATAAATATTCCAGTTTTGAAACAATACGCCTACTGAAAACACTGGGCAAGTTATCGCAACGCGACTTATTGCTCTATCATAGACGAGGCTGTTGAGATGTCGTACTTACTTATTATTATATTATTGGACATTAGATTGCTGACCCAGCGAATTCAAATATTGATAAAATTAAATATTATATCTAAGTTTATTTCCCATAGATATTTTTATTTATTCTAATAGTATGTATGTAAGTAATTGTATAAAATATATATTTATCAGTAATATCTCGATTTTGCTTGCTTCTTGCACCTTCTGTTATCTCTGCATCGCCCAAAGGTTCGACTGGGAGAGAATGCCTGTGGCATTAAGTCCACCTTGTACACAGATGTATGTGCAAAAGTCTAAATAAATAAATATCACTTCAAAGTTTAATAATGACAGTTTTTTTTTTGTTTGTCAGATACCAGAAGCCAGTCTCAGCCAGTCTCAGTCTTAGTCCAGCATCAGTCAGTTTGTTCTTATTTTATGTTTTAAGAATTATTTTTTAATAGCTGTGCCCCGCGGTTTCACCCGCGTTTTTGTCGTTTCCGTGGAAATACCGAGATAAAATATTTCCTATATTATAGCCTCCCTCAGTAAATGGACTATTGAATATTTAAACAGTTTTTATAATTGTCAGATCAGCATTTCCCGAGATTACCGCCTTCATAACAAACAACCAAACTTTTCATGTTTAGGTATAATATTAAGAAAAATATAGATTAAGTTAAATTGTATAAGTCAAGTAAGCAATAGCTGTTTATCTGTTTGAAATTCAGCCAGAGTAAGAATTACGACTACAGGCGGGAGTGTCCGTCCACTTTAAACCGGGTTCAAATGTCATTTTAAAGTAGGTACTTCTGAGTAAATTAGTATTTTTTGTTTTATTTTCTGAATTGGATTAAAATGCAAAGGCAAATCATTTGGAATCATTAGGATCCGAGGTTAAAATACTGTTTGACCAACCACTGGACCAGTCAGAACTATTATTGCAACTATCACGTTATTGCGAACAAATTTAACCTAAAGTCTCCCGTTACATAAATTTCTAAGTAAAATAATGGGGCACCAATTTTTAACTTGAGAGAATATGATGGGATGCCCCTCGGGTTTAAAGAATTAAAAAATCCCTGTAGATAATGGACTGCATATTCTTGATCCATTGGAAGTTTAGTTAAAATTAAATCGTTAATTTTGTCAACACTACTATTTAGACTTTACTCTACTGTACACACTTTAGGATTCTCTCCTGTGTTGTGGGTGCGTTTACAAACATACAATGTCACATACACATGACACCCAGACCCGAAACAACAATTTGTGGATCACACAAAGTGTTGTTCCGTGCGGGAATCGAACCCGCGACACGTTGCACGGCAGCCAGTTGCCCAGCCACCGCACCGACTGTGCACACTTCCATTGATAATCTTTATTTTCTATTTCGACGATATCTTTTGATATTAAACTCTCAATGCTTGTCTTTTTTTCTCCTAAATCTTGATCAATAGGTATTTTATTTTCAAAAGGAGTGATACCACGGCCTCACAGAAAACCGGCGTGAAACAACCACAGCGTTGTGTTTCGCCGTGTAAGTGAGGTTACTGGAGGCCCAATCCTTCCCCTCCCCCAATCCCTCCTCAATCCCTAAAGCTCCAAATCCCTAATCCCTGATTGCTTGCCATCAGGTAATGCGTCTGCTCGTTTGCCGACCTATTACATAAAAAAAAAAAAATAAGGTACTTTTCCGTCTCCAACTAAAAGTAACTTCAAAGGAAAATTTGTACTACCTCCTCTCAAATATGCTCTCATATCCGTAGATAGTTTTAAGGTATGAACAAATTTCCATAATAGAGAACTTTTAAGGCAATTTATTACAATGTCTACTTTAGTTCCTCTTACTACTACTGGTAAAGTTTGCCGAAAATCCCAACCATGATTTTATCACAGTCTCTAATATCTATAATAGTCCTATCTAGAGCCTCCACATGAGCTCTATGAATTCTATGAATCATGGTACATTCATCCCAGATTATTAAAGTGACATCTTACAAAACTTTGCCTAAAAGGCCATTTTTACGAATAGAGCACACGCTCTTTCTGTAACGGAACGGTTAGGTTATGTTAGTTTAAAAGTGTAATGAGCTGTGCGTACGCCAGCTAATATAGTAGCAGCGATTCCAGATGACGCTACTGCCAAAGCTAGTTTTCCCTGAGACCTTACTTTTGCTAATATCATATTAGTAGCTAATGAAAGTTTTGCCGGTTCCGCCTGGAGCATCAAAAAAAATATTTTTCCCTCATTGAAACAACACTGAGCATAACACTATTGTTTGCCATTACCTGGTCATTAAAGAACTTGGGTGCATTTTGGCTTCCGCAACGACATTTCCAAATTAAGATGTATGTTTTTCCTTTTCCTTAGCAGATTTAGTTTAGAAATGTATTTCTTATACTCTTCAAACATCTTATACTCACAATCATCAACAAATATATTACGAAAAATATTATTACAGGATTTTATGTTGATAAAAAACTCTATGGTCCATAACTCATTAATAAGGTACCAACTCTTAACATCTTACACACATGATAACTTTTAAACGATTGAGAGATTGAGAGGAAATAAAAAAGTATTTTAAAATACTTATAAATAAATACTCTTGATAACATAATGCTTAATTCCGATAAAGAATAATATTACGATACATATTTAACGCTTTTTTTCCTTCAGACGATTTAATAATTATTTTGAACACAAAATCGGGTATTGTGATTAAACCATGATAGCTAGATATATGCTCTCGCGGACTTTTTGTAAGTTTTAATAGAATCTACAAACCCGTAGTACATCATTTTGTTCTATGGTCAATAGTTATTGCAGCGCAAGCAAAAATAGGTTTTCGATTTTACTCCTTGTGTTACAGTGGTAAGAAAGTGCAAATTTACTTTTTGACGTTAGGAACATACCTTTTCTTCTTTCATTTATTTCTTAGATAACAGTGAGTGCTTGTTATTTAATATGAACCTTATGTGTAACAGCAATAAAGCTCAAATTGATTCGACGTTTTAGTTAGAAAACGTTTGTATGTGAAAAAGAAAAGGCCTGTTTTTAGGGTTTTCCCAGAATTATTCGATTTTTTCTCGCCGTAAGAACCATCCTTGGACTTCAACGAACATCTTAAAAAAAGAATTGGCCAAATTGGTCCAGGCGTTATTGAGTTATGCGCTTACAACACATTTTGCGATCCATTTTTATATATAAGAAGATAAAGATATATTATATAAAGACTACAATTACTCACATAGGTTAATGAGAAAACAGCGAACAAAGTATGGGCATGCATGCTGTACATTCAATGTTTCAGTAGCAATAACAATGTAGGTATCACTAAAACGAAACATAATAACTTAAAACTGTAGGTAAATATAAAATAATTTTAAATGAAGTAAACAATTTATGAATGTGGGTGACATAAAAACACAGCTCGTATTACGTATCGTTTCGTTAAAAGAAACTCATAGCAATTTTTTTTGTATTTATTTTCCTATTTTACTTTAATTTGAATTAACTTTTAGAATGAAGCGTGATCTTCCAAGATGTGATGATGTCCTAATTTTTTTTTCCTATTTTTCTTTAATTGGAATTTACTTTTAAAATGAAGTGTGATCTTCTTGTGAAGGTTTATCAATAAGTAAGGAAATTGGATTTTATTTATGTTATTTGGTAGTTTGATGTACATCAGATATTTCGTTTACCGTAATTTGTTCGTGGTTTATACAGAAAATATCATCAGCACGTCGTGTTGATCGTTTTGTTTGTCCTTTTTTATGAAAGTTAATTGAGCAAAATTTTGTTTAGTTTTTTTCGAACTAAAGTAACCTTTTAGCCTTGAATTGTATACAATTTATTTAATGGATTTTTATGTGATATGACTGGCTGGAAACATTCTAAGATAAGATATTTTCCAAAATAATTTTAGAGTTTTTCTGACAGTAAATCATCCAATGACTTTCGCCGCCCAGGGCCGGGCGAGAGGGATGTTCTCTTCCTGACTAAAAACGCTCCCGTTCTTTCTCCTGCTCTAAGGGGTTCATGATTAATTAGTTTTTATTTTTCGCCCTCAATACAATGTTATTTTTTTGTAACAATTCGTAATGGCAATATAGAACTTCTTGGGCTCTATTGTTAAATAAGCTAGTGGCATTTGCATCAAGTGTGGGCAACTTTAAACCCTGATTGCCTATGTCATTTGTATAAATGAGGAATAATAGGGGACAAAGAATTGACCCATGTGGCATACCAAAAGTGATATTTTCAATATCACTAATGATAATTATGTATATAATATGACAAATGTCCATCACCTACCGACAGCCTCCAGCCCTCCCCTAAACAGCCTCGGCTGCTATTGGGATACTTGGTGTTGACATATCGAGCGAAGTCCAGTTCCGCGGTCAGAGGAACGCGATGAACCTTTATATACCTTATATAAGGCTCAGTTAGCCTCGAAGAAGATAGGTGTGCTCAACAGATTGAGGCAGAAATTGGCATAATATGTACTTTAATGCGTAAAAAAGTTTTATAATATCACAGAACATGGTTTTCTTCTATCACCCATAGTTTTCATACACGCGACTACAGATTTTTATAGTGTTTATAAGAATCCCTATTTTTATAAGTAGTAGTATTTGAATTTAATGTATCACTCAACAAATCTGCGGCATACGCGTACTTTTTGATTTTAAATAAATTTAAATAGAAACTAATAAAAACAAAAACACAAATGTTTCCTTATTATAACATGATTAGTATAAGTACTTGACAAAATATATTTTTTATTGAAATTAAATTATATGGGCGAATTATAAAGCCTATATTTACGGAGAACAAAATAATGAGTGATATACTTAATAAGCAGGTTTTCTTTAAGATAACGTAGGCCTCTGTGTGGCAGTGTGGTTGAGGTCAGTGTCGAAGCCGCGCGTCGCAGCTATGTACGCCGTGTTATTTATTGTACTTACTACTGTTATCATCTTCGCTCTGTCTTTGGGGCTATACCAGAAGTCCAAGAACGCAGTATGTACGTCAAGAAGAAGACTGGATGGTAAAACAGTAATAGTGACTGGAGGAACAGCTGGGATGGGTCTTCACATAGCTACAGACCTGGCCCATAGAGGAGCTAGAGTGATAGTCGCCTGTCCCTTCAAAGATGAAGGCACTAACGCTAGGAAACAGATAGTGAAAGAGACTGGCAACGAAAACGTGGTATACAAACACCTCGATTTGGGATCTTTACAATCTGTGAGACAATTTGCGGCAGACATCTTGAAGAACGAAGACAGACTGGATGTTCTACTAAACAATGCTGGAGTTGGTATCCCTGGAGACTTCCTGACGTCGGATGGAATGAACTTTATAATGCAAGTTAACTACTACGGAACATTTCTTCTGACACTACTACTTATTCCTCTTTTAAAGAAAACTGGGAAGCCTGGCGAGGCGAGCAGAATCATAACAACAGCGTCAGTGTTGCATCGCATTGCTAAAATGGAAATGGAAAACTTAAACAAGACTAATTATTGGAATAAAATAAGAATGTATGGCAACAGCAAACTGTGTCTTGTCTTATTTGCTAATGAGCTATCGAAGAGATTAAAAGGGTCCAACGTCGTAGTTAACAATGTAGATCCAGGTTTAGTTGGAACTAGAATTTACAATTCTGCAAGCATAGTCCTTGGAAACTTAACGATGTTGTTTTTGATTTTATTCTTCAAGACCCCTTGGGAAGGTGCACAGACTTCTTTATATGCTGCGTTGGATGATGAAGCCGGACGAGTGAGTGGAGAATATTTTATAAATTGTAAAATAAGTGAGCCTTCAAAACAAGCGTGTTGTGACAAAACGGCCAAAGTGCTTTGGGATGATTCAGTGAGATTAGTGAAATTAACAGAAGATGAACTTCGGCAGTGTTTTAAGTCATTATAAATATTTGTAGCGTAAATTACAGAATATATTTTTTTCTAGATCTTGAAATTTTGTTTAGCATAATTAGTTAGAATTTGGTGCGTAACAATAGTTCCTAAGTTTGGTAGATAATAAATGCGCTGGGTGCTGGTCATGGCCACTATTTTGTTTTAATTGATTCTAATTTATCACACTGAGCAAAGGGCACTAACTACCACAATATATTTGAGTTTAAATAAACACTAATGTTGTACGACATTTTGAGTTTTTATTGGCACATATAGCATTCCTTAATATATGTGTGTTTTTATTACTTACAAACCTATTTGATTAGTACACCATAATCGCACGATCATAACCATGGCATTGGCATTTGTCACAGACAAACAAACTAACGCTAGGGTAAATATATGTATAGAAAATATTTAATATAGAATGAGTAGTTGATATAGACTTGATCTTAACAATAGGGTTGATTTGGTTGCCACTTGGTTTGGCACCCAAGCATGATATGACATGTTTGCCACATGGGGACATCATTTATGATAATAACATATTATCTTTATTTCAATTGTACATATAAGCCGTAGCCACATAGTAAATTGTTTGATAAATAATTTCGTAGTTCATTTCACGTAGCTGTTTATTTGTGATGACGATTCCATTTCTGTGCGGGATTCTTTTAACTTAACAAAAAGGAGAGCTGACGGTAACTCGGTTTTTATGAAAATACAAACGAACTTATTTTGAGTGGGGATAACCATCAAATGACTTCTCCCTGCTAAAAGGGGAGAAGGGCTAAAAGGTTTCCTGATCTTTCTCCTGCTCCAAGCCCCCCGGCTTGGTACTACCCCGCAGTACATCATTGCGCTGGACCAGCAACTGTGGAAAGACATGAATAAAAATTTCAGTCAACTGAAATTTTTGTTTTTTTTTTTGGTCTTTTAGGCCGTTAGTTAAAAAGCTAGTTAGCTAATTCATATACATTTTGCATCAAAATGGGCTTACGATTGAATAAAGTCAAATAAAATTTGATTTTAACTACGTTACTATGTGAGAGTCATTTATATTTTTTATACACTGCTTATTTTTTGTTTGTTATTTTGACAAGACAAACATCCCGTGCGAACGTCATGTCAAGGCCGTTGATGAAATTAAGGTAAATGACCGAAGGGAACGTTCGTAGGTAATATTTAAGGTTACAAATGTTATTTTGGTTAATCTCCAACGAGTTGTTATGATGGAATTTTTTATTATTATTATAGTTATTCACTTCCTGGTATATATTTATCTTAAATTGTGAACGTTATTTTATGTAATATTTATTTAAACATTCATGTGTAGGAGTAGTTTGAAACCAGGCAAGTACCAATGTAACTTTTTCAGAATTATATCCGAGTACTTTGTAACAATAATTATACACCCGAAAAATCGCCATATGAACCCACGGATAACAAGACGATTCCAAACACCTGAGCTGACCACCAGAAAAAGGAAACTGCAGGGCAGTTGGAGAAAGGCCAAGTACTTATTAGTTTGGGACCGATAAGATCCGTGGCTCTGGGAAGGATTCCGGCGACCGGTGGAAGTATGTCGTGCGTGAGATGTACAAGATTTACAGATGCGCATACTTTGAGGCAACAAAGGGCAGAACAAAACCAAAATTATTATGTACAACCATCAACTTACAAATAGAATATACTGGTTCGTAGGTCACCATTGAATGCCGTCGTCAATCGACGAATCGACCTTGGATACTTAGTTTAAGTTACACAAAGGGATATTTTCCATACATTGAAACGCTAAAAATATTTTCAATAGGAATCTTGTTCATATACATGAGCAAATAGAAAGAATTAATAAAATAATAATATTTCATTATAGAAAGCGGCTTTATTATAGTCGGTACTTTTTGGAAAGTTCAGTCAACATTGAAGATGAGCACTTTTACTTAGCTTGGAGTTTTTATACTCAGTCAAAGGATTTATTGGTGGAGACAGGGGCTCTGCGTTGCTCTAATCCCTACAATATAAATTGAGTTAGGCGATGCTGGCGTACGTCTCATAAGGTGTAATGTTAGTAAATGAGTGCCTATGATCGGACGACTGTAAACTGCGTAAATATATTGTCATTATTTTTTTCTGATTCTTTGGCAAAAAAATAACGTTTCCGTTCTCACATAATTTAACAAACTTTAAAATGTTACAAACAAATTTCTGTGCGTTTAGGCATTTTTGCCATACATATAACTATAAACAAGTATAGCAGCTTACACATTGGTCCCATTACAATAATATTTATTCCGTGGTGTTTGGTGACTGGGCTTCTCCCAGTTGTAAAATTTCTTTTGTGCCTTTAAGACTTAAGTCATTCTGTCTCCTGTATTAAATTTACCTAGGAAAGTGAAAACTATTTAGTTTTTTCCTCTCCATAAAATAATAGCTTCAGATTTATTTTGTTGCGGACTCCGAGATCAAGGCCATTCGTGTCCCTTGGACGCGTCGGACTCAGGTGTTTCTTTGCCTGATCCTGGCTTACAGGAGTTGCATCAGTTTTGGGAGATTAAGGCGGGCTGGTCCCATTAAAAAACTTGATCAAACGTGCCTATACTGGTCTAAATTAAATAAACGATTTGACTTCGACTTTGTAAGCTACGTCGTGGTGGTCCGGAGGTAAAGGCGCCCGCTTCTGTTGCATGAGGCAAACCTGGGAATAACCATTGTCACGTTTTTCCTGTTATAAGTGCTTTATGATTATTTAGGCGATTAATGCTCAAAGTTTATGCTCAGCAGTGGGCACTTATGGGCTGGTAGTGTAATGATGTTATTATAGTGTACATCATATAATCATAACATCATTACATCTAAGCTCAGAATACAGAACAAACCAGAATCCGCGTTCACTCATAATTACATGTCGTCAAATGTGTCCAAAAACAATACGTCAATCCCCCCGCCAGCCGCACTTCCCACCCGCGTAGTGTTGTCGACAGTGGAACAATTCCCTTGGTTTGGGGTAATTTTACAACAGGAGGGTAAGATACGAGTAAACCCAACAAAATAGGTAAACTTACGATAAATGCAACAGACTTATAGTTGTTCACACATTTCATAGAGGTATCATAAAAGTTGACGATTTCTGGCTGTGTTAATTTTAGTTACACCTACTATACACAACAAATAAAATAAAGATTCAATAAGTACAAAGGTTTTATTGCGTTCCCTTTTGCTGGTTTAGTTTTTTATATGTATTGTCTTTAGACTCCGAACTAAAGATTAGAAGTCTACTTACTTTACTTAGTTCCTGAGATTAGCGCATTCTAGCAAACAAACAAACAAACAAACTCTTCAGCATTATAATTAGTATAGATATATCTTAGTAGGATATGCTGTTTTTAAACCACCTTTGTCATAAATATATCTCTTCAAAGTGAATTGAGCAAACTATGCTCTGGCTAGATGGTTTCCAAAATTAATCTAATCGTGCCCTTTGTATGATTTGTATTTATTTTTTTGCCAGGGAAACTAATATGACATAGGCTCCATAATGGACAAAAAATAAAATAACCCACAACAAATAAATAAGTGGGTATAATTTTCACCAAAAATGACAACACTCACAAAATGGCCGCATCATTTTCATAGAAAAATAAATCGATAAAAAAATTCAATAATTAATTAAAAATACTATTGCAGTCGATGCTTGCAGAAGAAATGTAATCTTATCCACTTTTTTTGTAATTCTAGTCGCATTTTTACTCGTAGTAATAACACAAGACGGCATAATGAAATTAAAATTGATACTCGTAAATACGTCACGACATGCCACGTGCCAAAATTGACTAATCGTAGAAATTTCATACTATTCTAGTTGAGAATGGTTTTAGTTGCTTTAGTTTGAAGCGCGATGACGCCTTCTGGTTTGTTCTGTATTCTGAGCATCTAAGCTACTCAAAATTTATTAGTGTGACATTTGGTTGTCATTTTCATATTTCTTGCATTATGTTATATTACGTTGTTATGTTATGGAGCTTAAAAAACTTCACAGGAAAGCGTTATTGAAGTGATATTGTTTCGCCTAGCGCAGTCGCTGAGCAAGATGTAGCAATGTAGATTGCTATTGTCTATGTTGGAATTACATGAATAACTTAATAATAACTCAGTTGTTTTAAGTTTTATATATACATTAATAATGTAAGATGCTCATAAATTAATTATTATTGAACAAAACAAATTTTTTGTGAGTATTAAATTCTTAAAAAAACCTGTTTGTGCAGCCTCAAACTTTCAAAATATTATCGTCTATCCCAAAAAAGAAACTAAAATATAGCTATTGCGGTTTTTTAACTGGCTGGATCTATATTGTATAGGTATAACTGGCTGGAATATTTGATAGGTATTTTTTGCGGTGAAAATTCACAGCTCAAAATAATATCATTTTTTTAATGATTTATTATTATTATTAAATTGTATATTATTTTTGTACAATTTTGGTTGGCGTCATGGCGTGTGACATTGTTTTACACGCAGGTTTTACTTAAATTATCTTATACAAGATTTTTTTTTACAAATTTAAACATTATTTTGTCTACTGCTGGCAAACTACTAGGCATGTAAGGTTCTTGTTCTTTTAGAGTTCTATCACCGAAGTTATTATTGACTCTGTAACAGTGTACAATAGATAAGACGTTATTGAAGGCACCGGGGAGTTCGTACAAACATCAACATCCCAATCATCGTCTCCACGGTACATCGCAGGGCGTAAGATTTTATAATCAGGCCGAATAAAATACAAAAATAACGTCTCAGTCACAACGCTCGCTCTCCACCTTAAGTCGCACGCAGAGCTGTCAGTTTGACGTTCCGCCAGAATACGATTCATTGTACCCTCGTCCGATGAATTGTGATAAAACCTCCTTCAAAATTCTATTTAAATAATCGACGCTCCGTCATACTCTTTCCTGCCGCGTTGGTTTATAGCTAATAGACATTCGTATGCATGTTTTGGATGAGCCAGTAACAATGTTATTATGAGTAAAAATATATAGGTAATTAGGTTATGAGCGCTCAGCAAGTGACGCATTAAAATGTGGCTAGTTAGCCACATCTCATATTTGTCTCATTGTCTTACGCGATTATTAAATAATGCCATCCCTCTTTAAAGTCTAATGTCTAATCATACTGTAGTGTGTTATTGTATTATTTTGGTACTCCTGTCTGCGTTAGTGTGCTGTTTTTGAAGATCGAATGTTTTTTGTACACGTAACCTTTTTACTTATAATATCAGTGGCCGGCAATGATATTATAAGTGAAATATTATAGATAGGTTACCATAAAAAACATTCGATTTTCAAAAACGGCACACTTATACACACATGAATAAATCGTATGATACACGTTAACACAGTAAAAATATCATACAGTATTGTAACTCGGCCGCTTGAAAGAAATATATACCTACAGCCGCGCGGTACGTAAACATGCGTTAGGGCTGCTCGTCTCCAGTATTTTAATTACCTTTGTCTACTTTCTGTTTCCATTTAGTTTTGTGATTGTAAATATCCTTTTTTATATAAACAAATAAAGTGCTTTAAAAATAAACAAACAAAATTTCTTTGGCCACCAATGCCGAACTGAACAGCTGACTACGAATGTTCTAAAATCACAACCCTCAAACATCAAAATATTACATGAGTCTAGCTGTTATTATTGTTGTTATTAAAACCGAGAAAAAAAAACAGTTTTTATTGGTATTAAATATGTGGTTAAAGCAGCAGCAAAAACTCTTTATGAAAATTTCGAAAACTATCTAATGACACAGAGACTGTCAAATTTATTTTTTCTAGTATTATTCATAAACACAGATAATAAACAAATATTATTAATAATAAAATACCACACTCTCTAATTTGAATTATACAAACTAACAAAACAAACATGAACCGTTTTAACACAAGCGTAAGTAGGTAGGTACCTAACGTATCATTATTCATTCAGAACCAGAACCGCCTATAACTACCTATTTCACTCGTCTCAATAACTTTATTCATTTTATTTATAAATTCAAACACCTGTTTTCGTGAGATAAAAGGAAATAATGATCCATTATAAAGACACACATTATGTACCTACCTAGGCTACTAGTAAGTAAAATTATTTTATAGTATTACCTTTCAGAGTTTCCAGGTAATTTAAAAAAACTTATGTCTGGATGCGTTATTGACTAATTCATGCAACCAAACCAGCACAATATTTCCTATTCGTCATATTAAATAATGTACTCGAGCTGATTTCTAAATAAAAGACAACACACCGTCCGTTCGTCACTGCGGTACAGCCGCGTCTGTCTGCGTCCCGAGCGCGCCCCGACATCGGGCGCGTAGGTATAGTTCGCGTTTCGGCCGTTTCTATGAAGTTGGAATACTTATAGATATTATTACCTTGACGTTAAAGTGGGATGGCATGATTCAATTGTCGCGAGTGAAAAAGAGACAAATATGAAAAAGTGTGGCTAGTTAGTCACATTTTAATGTATCACTTGCTGAGCGCTTGTAACATCTACACAGTAGCTTGTAACAGACCCAGCCACGCGTTGCTGTGGCAAAGGTAAATAATATTTTGACTATAAATTAAAATTTAAACTATCCTATCTATCAAGTTGGATCGAACTGCACATTTATTATAATCGGTTAAGTGGTTTAGGAGTCCATTGAGAACAAACAGTGTGACACGAGATTTATATATATTAAGACAGGTGGCCTGTAAGATGTTACTTAATTAAATTTTTTTTTTAATTAATGACGAGAACGAGAATTTTTTTCAGAGAAGGAACGGAGTCTGACACTCTCACGCCCCACGCAGGGCGAGAGAAGAGTCTCGAGAGAGATTTCCCCCCCTCCCCAAATTAAGGAAGGGTTGTTTTTCGTTTATCATCACCATCACCATATCAGCCACAAGACATACTCTGCAGAACTCCTCCTAAAAAAATTACAAAACAGAAAATGAGTTAATTTACAAACATTAGCATAAATCAGGGTCTTTATATAACACGTGTAGCCATAAATCCCATTAAAATTTTATTATAGTTGTAACCAGCCTGACTACCTGTATATTAACTGAATATGTAATTTATTAAATAACACATAGGTACAGACGATGTCGTCGTATATTATTTCATTAAGTAAGTAATTTTCAAAATGATACATTAGCATTCGTCCTTATTATTATTTATCTCGAACTTCTATATCAACCGTTTGTGACGTCACATGGGTTATTGGCCCAACTGGGATTCGCACAGCATATTATCTTCCACAGCCGCAGGAGAAGCGGTGGATATCAGGAATCGTGAAACGACCTCCGGTCACCGCGAAGCACGCGTCAGCGACCAAAACCAAGGGCCCGAGTCTAATATTTTCAAAGTGTTGTCATTCCTACACGATTCCATTGTCAATTTGCTAAAAGTTCGTAATCTGTTAATTCAAAATGGCGGATCATTGGCGTTTGGCGATGTCGTAATAGAATTATAGTACGAGATGTCTTGTAACAAATTATAAACAATAACTGCACATTAATATTCTAAACGTAAATCATTGAATAAAGGAACTGTCATTTTTTATTAATTTACTACACTATGTCAAATATTTATTTGTCATTATGTACGAGATTACCGTTCTAAAGAATTATTTCAATGAAGTGGCATTGGAAAGTCATAATGACGCTATCGTGTTAGTAGATTACCAAAATCAACAATTTTGAAAGCAATGCCCTACTATTCTGACAATATTGTAATAGTAGACTCGAGGCCCAGATATGAGCGTGAGGTGCGTTACATTTCTCGCTAGCATTAACAGATCATCAGACCACCACTGATGAGACCCTCTAAGGTCGAAAGGTCGTAGAAGGCCCTAGTTTGGTACAAAGATATAAGACTAATTACAATTCCAGTGCAAATATTATATTTATTTAGATTTAGTCTTACTTATTATGGATATAATTTATTTAATTTTAATTTTATTTAATCTAGATATAAACGCTAACATTACACTTTATACCTAAGTCCTTAGTTACAAATAAGACAATATGTAAATAAGGTGTATGTGGTGTCATTATGTGTGTGTGTATAAAATAAGTAAACATAATATATCCAGCATTACATGTGTTGATGCTATTGTCAAAAATAAAGTAATTAAATTACTAAAAAAATTCAATGTCATATTCATTCATAATTATAACATCACTACGCAAAGTTTCTCAAAGTTTTTTAAATTTTAATACCTAATTCGTGTTAAATGAAAAATGTCAAAATCGAAATCAGTTGCATGGATAAAATAAAACCGGCTTAGTACGAGTTCTGCAACATAATCACGTTTGCAGCATCAGATACATCATGGTTGAAAATTTGCAGTAAACAAAAACGTCTCACGTCATCAAGGTATCTCACACGGCTCTCATATTATTTGAGAACCACTGGTCTTAATCCGTAAAATAAAATTGAAAACAATAATTTCGGATTCTTATATCCTTGAAGATAATTGAATTAATCTTTTACAATAGTTCTTTTTTTCTTTTAATATGAAGTCGATTAATTAATTAAGATTTTAATAGTTTTAATATCTTGATACGTCAATATAAAATTGGTGTATCGAAAACATTATTGAGTGTTAGAGAATTCTAGCAACAGTATCGAACAATGTTGATGGAATTTTTAATATTTTTAGTTATAGTGTTATTGTTATATGACCGTTGGTCTAGAAGGGAAGTTTACAGATTAGGTAAACAGTTGAGTTGTAGAGTGAAAGCGTACCCTTTAATTGGACACAGTTATTTGTTTTTGGGTGACAACCATAGTAAGTACTGTTTGTGTGTATTGTGTATTGTGAAAAAACTGACGAAATGACACATATGTAGGTAGGTATATCTGTCGCGTCCAAACAGATTAATAAGGTACTCAGTTAAGGACTTAGCTTGTTTTTTTTTATTGGATTTCTGTGCAGGTCAGAAATTTAACCTTACCTAACGTTGGTTTAAAAGTTAAAACGATTGTTAGAAAGATCAACGTTTTAACCTTACCTAACGTTGGTTAGGTAAAACACTGACCTTTCTGACAGCAACTTAGTTTCAATGAGTCATTAAAATTGAGTAGTCACTATTAATGTCGATCTTATCATCGTCCAACTCATGGCCTGAAAGAGAAATTAAGCCATTTATTAGCTACATATTCAGGCGGCTAGTTCAATGGCTAATTAATTTAGTTGGTTGCGATATAGTTTTTTGAATATATTGAAACAGTGCACAATGAACTCTAAATCTATCGTAATTAACATTGTTTTTCTAGAACGAATGGAAGCTTTACAAATCCTTGGTAGAGATGCTTTAAAAAACGATAATGGTTTGTTCCCGGCGTGGCAAGGAAATTATCTGTATACAAGTAAGTAATATTTTTGTATGATATAAGTCAGCAAAAAAAAGCAGACGGCTTACTTGATGGTAAGCAATCGTCGGAGCCCATATACACCCTCAACACCAAAAGGAGTTACGTGTGCCTTACCGGCCTTTTGGGGATAACTATAAAATAGGGGAGGGACCTCACTCACACAGCGAAACACAATGCAGTGGTTGTTTCACGCCGGTTAACTGTAAGGTCGTGGTATTACTCCGGTCTGGTCCTATGACGTCTGTGTGGCGAATGCATTTAGAATATGCGTGTTTCGCCAAAGGCCTAAATCTTACCCACATCCTCATTTTCTCCATTTTTCAATGGGCGTCGTCGTCGTCTGGCGGCGCTGATAGTTTACCATCAGGTGATTTTAGGGCACGATAACTGCCCTATCTTAAAAAAATAAGGTTAAATAGTAGTAGTATGACAGTCCACTGCTAGTTAGTACCTAGAGGACTGTAATAAGTTGTTAATGAAGATGAGCTGTGGAAAAGTATACATTTTTAATAATTATATATTTGATTTTGTTCCTTTTAAATATTTCCAGTGATCGTAGACCCCGAGGCTGCGGACTTAGTATTAAGGACTTGCCTTGAGAAAGATGATATAATGCAAATGGCTACACTCTTCGTTGGAAATGGAAGCATATTCGCTCCTGGTAAGTAATAAACAAATAAACTAATATTATAAATGCGAAAGTAACTCTATCTGCCTGTCTGTCTCTCTTTTCTTCACGCCTTAACTACTGAACTGATTTCTGTGAAATTTGGTACAGACATAGTTTGGAACTCGGGAAAGGGCTTAGGATAGTTTTTATACCAAAAATCTGCAGGAAGTCACTATGCCACTCGAACAGAGTCGTGGGCAAAAGCTAGAGAAAAATATTTTTATTTACATAATACACATTTCACATTTTTTTTTTTTATTTTTTTTTTTTTTATTTTATTTGGGAAACAAACAGATACATTGCATTAACAAAACAAACACAATTTAAACCAAACATCATCCAAAACAGTTTCCACAACCTTATTAAAACATATAAGCCGACTCAGAACATTATTAAAACGGTTTAGTAGAATAAACATCAACATGCAAGCGCTTCGGCATATTTGGCACTTCTCGACCAAGGTCAAACCACGCCCTTACAGGAAAATTGGCACGTGATATAAAGCAAACGGCTCCGTTGAATACAGCCTTGTTGAATGAGGTAAATGACGGTCCATCCTCACACACACCCAATCCCCTAATCCTTACCTAAAAGCGTTGATACACACTAATGTAGCTTTTTTGGTGTTGCGAGTGCCCATGGAGGACGTGAATTACTTACCATCAGGTTATGCTGATGGTTGGCCGCCATATTTCATAAATAAAGCAAATTTTAATAATAATGTTATACGCATACGTCAAAAATATTTTTGATGGCCACACTACAAAACATGTGCACTAATTTGGAATACGTCAAATTGACGAATTAATTGTGAATTGGCACAGAAGTAGCTAGTATGGGATAACACTAAGGCACTCATTTGCAAGTTGAAAACAAAAATAATAACCTTGAATACCCACATAAATCATATGTTAATCTTAATAATATATAATTTAAATGAAGCAACGTTTATTTCTTAAATATGACATTCTGACCGAAAAAATAAATGAATTAGATAATTTGCCAAAAAATATCAAGTATAACCACAGATTAGGTAAATAATTAGTAAATTACTCGAACTAAGATTGAATTTACAAGACAAGTGTACCCAGTTTATTTATGCCTTTTATATTAATTGTAAATGTACATATTGTGTAGGAGAGTGATGCTTCGGCACGAATGGGTCGGCTCAACCGGAGTCATGAGTCATACCACGGCCTCACAGAAAACCGGCGTGAAACAACCACAGCATTGTGTTTCGCCGTGTGAGTGAGGTTACCGGAGGCCCAATCCTTCCCCTCCCTCAATCCCTAAATCTCCTAATCCCTAATCCCCAAAAGTTCGGCAACGTAATCGTTACTCCTCTGTTGCGGGTGTCTATGGGCGGTGCTGATTGCTTACCTTCAGGTAATCCGGCTGCTTGTTTGCCGACCTATTACATAAAAAAACTATTGCCTATTATTTTTAATAGGTAAATTTTCAAATAACCTCTCAAATCTATCTAGCAAATTTTCGCTTCATCCTTAAAGAGTTTTATATTGAATCTTGCAGTTTCAATATGGCGACCTCGTCGAAAGGTCCTCGTGCCGACCTTCAACATGAAGAACTTGAAGTCCTTCGTAACAATTTTTGTAAGACACAGCGCCATACTTGTGCAGGAGTTGGGGAAACTGACTGAGAACGGTCCACTGTCAGCTTTTAAATACTACACTGCTTATACTATGGACGCTATTGCTGGTACTGCTACAAAGTTTTATACATTTTATCATCTTAATCATAAAATAGAAGTATGTTACAAGATTCAACACAGTCGTTCTTATAGGTTCCGTATATAAGAACAATAGGAAGACCGCCGCTTCAAAATAATAAGAGTATCATTACTTCAAATATGAATAGCATCTTTAATATATTTATAATAATTGTGATCTTAACATTACTTTCTTGACCGAAGCCGACCCAGGACCCAGGATATGTTCTCGTTGACTATTTTGAGTATTATTATTATGTTATATTCGACTTTTTTCTCCTTTAGGTAATTGGTACTCAGAAATAAAGGCTTATTTTATTTTATTTTTATTTATTTTATTTATTAGGTTATATACCAACGGTGAAAAAATGCAACTCATAAAAAATATTATTCCAGAATCCACGTTAGGATACAAAATGGATGCCCAAAAATCATCAGATCATCCTTTCTTAAAAGCATTTAACTATGGACTCCCGAAGTGCGCAGAACGCCTCTGTCAACCATGGTTGCATAGTGACTTGATTTACAAGAATTTACCCGTATATACTAGGCTGGTGAAACTAAAGGAATATTTATGGAATTTCATGATTGAGGTAACAAACACATAAGAAAATAATAATAATTATAAAACACTAATTATTTAATGTTCATAGTAAGCAGTCATATCGTTAATAAGTCTTTTATTTACAGTTAATCAAAGCTAAAAGAAAAGAAATTAAACACAACAAACCAAATAAGGACACGGAAAGTAAGAAGTACATATCAATGTAATAAAATTAAGAGTGCCTAAGCTATAATTCTGAGCAAGCAACAGATATCAATTATCACATGTGAAGTCAACAATATTGCTATGAATAAAGGCACCTCTATTACATGTAAGGTTAATACAGGCAATTCAATTCCAGATTTGCCTGAAGAAAGTATTCAAACATTTTTGGAATGTTTAATAAAATCGTCAGGAGGAGATAATGGTTACACAGATATAGAAATAGTAGAAGAACTAATGGTTATCATGGTAGCTGGCAATGATACTTCTGCGGTTGGAACATCTTTCGTATCTTTGATCCTCTCTAGGCATCCAGAAGTCCAAGAGAAAATTTATGAAGAGTGAGTTATTAAAAAATAATCATTTTATAAAATAAAATAATTACTGTATCTGACTGCTAATGTAACTAGAATATAATATGAAAACGCCGTAGATTATTTCTGTCCTGTAGATTGTAGAATTGTTACAGTATTTTTTTTGCGAGTTGCTGGAGTGTAATAGGAGTGTCTTAAATGAACCAGTTAAAATGATATAACAGATAAAGTATGTTTTGAAATTAGAAAGGAATTTCACCAGCTGCTCCAGATAAAAATGAATACCTAAATACAACGAGAGGTCGATATAAGAAGAATTCGTATGATACACAAACAACAAAGTCTGGGTATGTGGTACTTCCGTATCAAAAGGGATTGATTTAGTTCCATTCTTTAATAGGTTACAGGAAGTTTTCGGTGATTCAGACAGGCTGGCCACTTTCGAAGACTTGCCTCGCTTGAAGTACCTCGATGCCGTGATCAGGGAAACACTACGATTGTACCCACCAGTGCCTATCATCGTAAGAAAAGTTGAAAATCATGTTCCGTTGCGTAAGATTCATTTTTTTATTACTTTTGTTGTGTAAGTTGCCTATATTTTATGTTAATTTTCTTTTCCTAATTTGGTAATTTTGACAGAGTAATAAAAATGTAGTTGTAGTAAGGAAAACTGAAGTTATTGTGCGCAGGTCACATTTGTTGGGGTAGACGTGTTCTGGAGTGAAGACTATGGGTAGGCAAAGGTAGTGTAGGGCGCCCTCCAGCTAGATGAAGTAACGATACCTGTAACTTTGGCTGGATGGGGAAAGTTGAATATCGAGCTCAGTAGTGTGCAATTACAAAGACCTTTGTCCATCAGGTGACGGAACGGCTTTTTTTGTGAGGGGAAAATCATCAAATGACTTCTCCCACCCAGGGTCGGGCGGCAGGGATTGTCAGACTCTTACTGACTAAAAACCCCCTGTTCCTACTCCTGCTCTAGGCCGAGGTCGCGGTGCCTCATTGCACTTACCCCGCAACCCCGGCTAAACGGCATATAATACTGAATTTAGTAATTTTATAATGAAAAAATACAGTCCATTAAATTATTTAGCTTTACAAAAAAATCAAACTTTTTACATGTTTTAATAGCAACCAGTTGTAACCAGGTCTTTTTTTTATTCACATATACTTTAGCATCAGGAGTCACCCTGGTGCCTGGAACCGGCGTTTTAGTCCACATCTGGGCCTTACACCGTAATCCTCGCTACTGGGGAGACGACGCCGAGCAGTTCCGACCCGAACGGTTTCTTGATGCGCCGCTTAAGCATCACGCTGCATTTATGGCTTTTAGTCATGGACCCAGAAACTGTGCAGGTAAGGAATCAAAAGCGTTATTCCTACTTTTGAATTGATTTATTTAAACAATCTGGAATCAATATCAATTACCTGATGGTAAGCAATTGGCGCCCATTATGGACACCCGCAACATCGGAGATTTAGGGATTGGGGAGGGATAGGGAGAGGGGAAGGAATGGACCTCCGATAACCTCACATAGGTATTGTAACCACAAATGTTGGCAGTTATAATATTACCTTAATAACTAACTTCTTTATCATTCAGGTTACCAATACGCCATGATGTCAATGAAAACCGTGTTGTCAACGGTACTGCGACGCTTCAAGTTTCTACCAGCTGTTCCATGTGACTCCGGGTTTCCTCCACTTAAGCTAACCTTCGACCTCATGATGAAGGACGAAAACAACTTCCAAATACGCTTAGAACGTAGAATTTAGCGTTAATTTAAGTTAGTTTATTCCTTAGTATTAATGTTTAACACGAACCTAGTTAGTTTATATGCATCATCATCATCATCATCATCAGCCTATAAGTGCCCACTGCTGAGCAAAGGCCTCTTCTCACAAGGAGAAGGTTTGAGCATTAATCACCACGCTGGCTCAATGCGGGTTGGCGATTTCAAACTTACAATTAGAAATTATAAGTCCAGGTTTCCTCACGATGTTTACCTTCACCGTATGTCAGTGGTGTCTAAATAATCATAGAAAGTACATATAACTCGGAAAAAGTCACATTGGTACTTGCCAGGTTTCGAACCAACACCCTCATGCATGAGAAGCGGGCTCCTTAACCTCCAGGCCACCACGACCACAAGTTTATATGCATAATTGGTAATAAAAAATTAGCACGAACACAAGTTTTTTTAATTATTTAGTTGGGTTGTCTCCGCACATTTATAAAACTATTCTTACTTTTTTGCGACAAATAAACGTTTATAATTTTTTTTCATTTTCATTTTCAAAAATTATCACCCATGGCTGGGGTCCCAATCCTCAAAAGACTGGGAACGACCAAGTATCTTTTTTGGTATTGCAGTTGCCTATGGGTGCCGATGCTTAAAACCAGGAAAAAGTTAATGTTTAATTATTTATTTATATTACATGGATATCAATGAGTATGTAGTCGCATAGTTTATTAACAATTCATTCCAAAAACTTAAAAAATATTTTTTTCAATAAGTTATAATAAAAATGTTTCACTTTTTCATTATATTATTAAATTTTTCCTAGTTACATTACAAGCCATAAATTAGAAACAGATTGCATGACATATTCAGCATACCCGGATATAGATATTAGGTACCTACTATTACAGACTGGAAATATATTTATTATACTTACTTCTCTAATACAGTCATCAATTCGATCAACATTCTTCATCACTTTTAATGCACATTTGAAAAAAAACTGCAAGGCTGACGTAATGGCTGGGAAACTGATTGTCACGTAACGTGTCAGGGTTACTATTTCCGCACGGAATAAATATTTGTATGTTCCCAAATTTTTGTTCCGGGTCTGGGTGTGTGTGAAATGTATCCATGCCATGTGAGAAAATCCTTGAGTGGGGAAAAGTTAAAAAAAACTTATACTTCTTTGTTAAAAGATCTTGTACCTACCAGACAAATAAAAGCAAACACTGCGTAGGATGCCCATGCAGCGGTAAAACTCGTCTTTGAGGAGTGGCTAGAGAGGCTCTAGGCGTCTTCATCTCCTTCCTGACGCAGTCGCTTATTGCATACGGAAGTTTCGGAAAGTATTCGTTTCAACGGGATGAACCGCTCGGTGATCGTTACTTCAAGGTCTACCCGGAGAACACGATAATCGGTAGCAGGAACCTCTCGCGCCTGGTCTTAGTACAGGCCATGATGCGAAACAAGAGAAAATGGGAAGTATTGGTGGTCTAGTAACTCACATAAAAATTATAATGATGACAACAAAATTAATGAATACTCAATTCATAATAGTCACATCACACCATCAGCCTATCAGTGCTCACTGCTGAACAAAAGCTTCTCCTCACATGGAGGAGGTTTACGAATTACTCACCACACTTGCTCAAGACGGATTTACAAACTAAGGCGTTTCCTCTCGATGTTTTCCTTAACCATTTGTCAGTGGTGTCTAAATAATAATAGTCACTAAAAATAAATCAAATTTAAATTTATTTCAAATTTTTATTAAAAATTACCATACAACACAAAGATTAATATTATTTAACAATTATTTAATTACCAGTTAACCTAAATTAAATTATAAAAAATAGCATCACCAACGAATCGCTTGTATTGTAATTATTAGACAGATGCCATTAAGTCAGCCTAGACCTTTCTGCCATATTTCTGTAGGTTCTAAAATTTATTGTTTTAAAAAATAAATACAGATTTAATATTGGTTTAGGTAGACCTGTTGGCGTGTATACCTCAATACAAAAGCGAACTTATACTAATTGAGCAATGAACAGGTTACAATTAAAATAAAACCCAAAAAAGGTAACTTAATAAAGAATATAACAGTGGTAGAAATTTTTCATGGTTAAAATTATCCAAAAAAATAATTTATTTAAGCTACTTTTGATCGAGACTCGAAACAGACTTGGAAACCATCCGCATCTTTCATCATAAGATCAAACTTGAGACGCAGTGGTGGGAACTCAGAATTACTGTTAGGTTTCGTGGCTGGCAAGAGCTTGTAACGTCTTAATAACGTAGATAACACTGTCTTCAACGATAACATAGCGTATTGATAACCTGTAAAAACAAAAGACCTTAAAATAAAAGCTTAAATACTGCATCGATTTAGATAACATTTGATCATAAAACAGATAGAAAAGGCGGTAAATTCTGACAGAAATCATTATGCCACAAGAACGAAGTCGCCGTGAAAAGCTAGCGATATATTTTTTGACCATATTATTATAATATTTATCTTTTAAAAACAAGTTTTCGTTCAAAAATTTCATGAAGGTCATTTGATAAAGTTGATCAAACCAAATACAACAGGTCTGGTCTCTAAGCAAGATATTAATTTGTACAGAAATATAGGGTAAATTACTGACTCGGGGCTTCTTAAAGTCGCTAGCAGCTGGTTGGTTGCCAGGAGCAAACCATCCAGCTCAGTTGTGAATTATTGGTTAATGTTTTCGGGAAAAGGACGAAAATCGACTTAAAATAGCTATAAAAATACCAAAAAAAATTTACTATTTACAACAGAGTACAAAATGATTTTCGAGGGATTCTTAATAGAAACCTCGAAAACCTTCAATTTCATCTTTTTGATGTAGACTTTTGGGGAACAACGAAATTTCATAATAAATCTTACCAACACAATTCCTAGGTCCATAACTGAATGGCATGAAGGCAGCAGGATGTTTGAGCGATATGTCGAGGAACCTTTCAGGTCGGAACTGCTCCACATCTTCTCCCCAGTAGCGAGGGTTGCGGTGCAAAGCCCAGATGTTTACCATGATACCAGTGCCAGGTACCAGCTTTATGCCAGAAGCTGTGAACATGTGAAACTATTTTAAGCCAGTGACTAGGTATCTTATAAGTTTAATATTAAATCTATCAGTCCAACAGCATAATGTGGAAAATTTGAGTGTCAGAATCATCCATCGGCACGAACAGATCGGTTCGACCAAAGTGATACTACAGCCTCACAGAAAATCGGAGTGAAACAACCACAGCATTGTGATTTATCGTCGAGTGAGAATACCGGTGGCCTAATCCTACTATCTAATCTCAGGACTCGAACAAGTATATCAAAATATAATGTTCACAATTTTAAGTTATTTTTCTAAACGTAACGTTTTTTTCGTGTGGGACCCAAGCTTTGGCATGTATAGGTCAGCTCGACTGAAATGATACCACGGCCTCATATAATACCGGCGTGAAACAACCACGCCGTTTTGTTTCGCCAGTGAGTGAGGTTACTGGATGCCCAATCCCTCAAAGCGTGGTGTATGTTTCTTGCTGTTAAACATCAATAACCAAGAAATTTGTAACTGAATTTAAACTATTTTCCGGTAGGTAGTACCTATAAGTTGCCTCTTTGGATGCAAATACTTTGACAAATTTCAATACTTACGTAATAAAAATTCCTTGTCCACTTTCCTGGTTACCACCGGGGATGTTGTGTATAACCGCTGTGTCTCCTTGATCACAGCATCGAGGTACTTCAGCCGAGGCAAATCGTCAAAGGTAGACGGCCTGTCTGAATCTCCGAATACTTCTCGCAACCTGATAAAAAATATTATCGTAACTGTTTGTTGTTCTTTTCAGATACACTTTTTTTTTTAAACTAAAAGATGAATCATTTTAAGTTTGTCTATAATATTGGATCAAATGGATAATTATTAGACCTTAGCTAGGACATCAATTATCAATCAACTTATAAAAATCTAAGCTAATAACATTTGAGTAAATGCTATAACCAATTTCTTTAATAATCCTCAACTCACTCTTCAAAAACTTTCTCCTGTATTTCAGGATATCTGGAGAGTACTAGAAGTACGAAGGAAGCTGCTACTGCCGAAGTGTCAGTACCGGCCACCAGGATCACCAGTAGCTCCTCTACTATTTCATCGTCCGTGTACCCGTCATCACCACCGGACAACTTTATAAGACTCTCCAAAAACGTTTTATGGTAATCTTCTGAAAATTGAAAATAAACATCGTGTATAATTTTTAGATATATTTTTTTTAAGTTGACTTAATAAAAAGCCTTTTTGATATAAAACAACACATAAAGCATGTTAAATTACAGATGACGAAGAATGGGCTAAGCGCTGCCCGCCTTTTGACGTGTCCTTGGCGAAGGCGGCGGCCTTTTCGTGCGTGAAATAAAATACTTTACATCGTGAGAATAGGAACAGTAGCTGAATGGCCCCTATAAGGTTCTTGTGGGCAAAACACGTTCGTTTTGAAATCCAAGCTCTAAGGCCTATATTGTCGATTAACAAGGTAATATTGGTAGAATAGTACCTGTTTTATAAGTTGACAATAGAATTTAATAATAAAGAAATAATAGTAGACTATTCTGGACGACCTTGAAGTTTTCTTTAAAAACGTAAGTAGATTGATTATTCGTCCCAACTAATAAAATATTAAAAGTAACCTTATATTCACCTTCGTATTGACCCTGGGTCGATTTGTTCTCTTCAAGTTCTCTTCGCTTATTTCTAATCAACTGAAATCATAACATTAATTTCCTATAACATAATTCTTAATTTTAATTATATGTATATGTTAATCTTAAAGCTTTTCTATAATGAATTTTTATAATTTGTTTTTAATCAATATTAATATAATATTAAATGCGAAAACTATTCCATTTTTATGTCCGTATCTTCTTTACACCTAAGACACTAAACCGATTTGGATGAAACTTATTACACTAAGTTACTCGTAAGCCGTGAAAGGACAAGAATAAATTCATTCGACTTCAGTAAGTACTCGCGATTACAAAAAAACCTCCCGTCCCTATTTCCTTTCAATCACCAAATCGAAGTGTATGAGGTGATGACTATACTAATAATACAGACCTAAAGAAGCGACGCCATACTGGAGACTTATTAACAATGAAACGAAATGATCGGAGTGGATTATGGTAAAATATAATAAAGTTATAAAATATAGAATTTGGTTAAGTCAATATGTCAAACATCTCAAAATCAAACGACAATCATTTAACCGCGCTAGGCAAAATAAATAAAGATAAAAATCGGTCGAAAATGTTATGTTACCTCAATCATAAAGGCCCACATTTCCTTCTTGTGTTCCATCATTTTTGTGTACCGAGGAAGGCTCTTGTAAATCACATCACTATGGAGCCATGGCTGGCCAATGCGCTCTACAATGCTGTTGAGTCCCAAATCAAATCCTTTTAAGAAAAAATGGTCAGACTCCTTTTGGGCATTCATTTTATAGCCCATTGAAGTTTCTGAAAAATATGTAATAATTGCTCATTTAATTACAGTACTAGTAAACTTACAAAAATTGTCACCTTTTTTAAACTTACGTGAGATAGAATCCATCGTATACGCAGAGATGTACTTAAATACGGGAATAGGACCTTTCCCAGCTGTTTTTCCTATTTGCTCAGCTAGAATTTGGCTTTCACTTGAAAATATAGTAGTGAAATATTTCAAATTCTTCATACTAAACATCGGTATTAATATCTTGCGACGCGGACGCCAAATAGGCACTAAAAATAAATTAATTTTAGTCGTTATAAATTCCAACTACGAGACATAAGTTTAGGTAAATAAATATTGTTAAAATTTTCACCTGGAGCAAAGATAGAGCCATTCCCAATAAAAACAGAGGCAAATTTAGCAAGGTCATCCTTCTCAGAAAAGTTTTTTAATATCAAGTCTGCCGCTTCAGGATCAGCCACCACTGTAACGTTTTGAAATAATTCATAAAAAATCACTCGCAATTAACTTACCTTATTTGTATTAAGTATAATAAAATATTCCTGATTAGAAAACTCACTTGTGTACAATTTGTTTCCAAACCACATTGATGTCAAGCCATTTTTATTATTCAATGCGTCTAAGCCAATAATTTGGAAGGCTTTCATTATCCCTGAAATCGACATTGCATTATGTAAAATGTATCGCAATATGTAACAAAAAAACTTTTCTATACTAATATTATAAAGAGGTAAAATTTGTAAGTTTATATGTAGGGGGTAATCTTTGGAACCACTGGTCGGATTTCCATGATTCTTTAAATGATAGATAGCTACAATATTCCTGCGTGCTGTGGGCTATAAATCATCACGCTACGATTAAATGCAGCCGATCAGCGAGTGAAACCGCGCGAGAGTAGCTAGTATATGATATAGATGAATAATACTTAAACAAATATCATAAATCTTCCAATTTGATTTACTTTTTAACAAAAATATGTTTTATTATTAGAAAATCTTGGCGCTAACTATGTTCTGATTAGTGGGAATATAGTCAGTAATATAGTAATATTATTACTTTTTCATAAATATAATTACATATATTAAATATTAATGAAATGAAATATTTCTGTTCGTTGTACTATAAATAGTTGAATACCTAATCACTCATTATTTTTCAGAAAAGGTTGGTTAATATTATAGATAAGGTTTTTTTAATAACATTTATAATATTTTTTATGTTTAATAATCGTCTGCATATTTTAATGGTACTCCAAGGCAAAGATAGATTTGATAAGGGTAATTGTAATTGCAAAAAACAAATTATATTACCATCATATAAAAAGTATAACAGGAAAAAACTAATACCTAACCATAGAACTCGTTCATCCCTCGACATAATTTAAAAACTATATAAATACCTAAGTTTTTTGTATACATAACATTGAAAGATCTGTGCATCTAATAGTAAAATTCTAAAACATTTCTGACCAAGCAAATGTGTTTATAAACCTAACGATAATTGTGTTCCACACGGATTAATTCCAAAATCAAAATCTACTATTTTCATGCATTGAAAATCAAGCTTTGCCTAAATTGTAACTACCTTATCGTGCTGAATTAATAAAAACATTGAAATACTTACTTACATTATCACCGATAAACAAATAAATATGTCCAATGAGCGGGAACGTCTTTATTCCAGAATTTAATTGCTTCCCTAACTCGTAGATTTCCCTGTTTGTCCATCGTTGGTGTATCAGAAAGAGTATGGTCACCAGTACTATTAATTCGATCAACATTTCGTTTCACTTTGAAAACACTTTAAAAAAAATAGACTTGCTGTAGATTACTTTTGATGAATAAAAGTCTGCCTTGTCCATGAAACTTCAAGTCAACGTTTTGTTTTTAATTTATATTTCCACACGTCTCTATTCGACTAGTAACACGCAACAAAATGCGAGAGCATTTAAAAAATAAGATTTGAGATTCGAGGCTATTCAAAGGACACGAAAAATAATTTACATAAGATCAGAAAGATAAGGCTGTCTTCACATACCTACGTCCCCGAATTTTAAGCAATATAATATTTGAAAATTACCGTGAATGTTTATAAATCAAATTTTTCTATAATTTCTAAATTCATATTTACGTCATTAGCAAATGATTTGGAATCGCTACTGGCTATAAATAATGTTATGCACAATCGTACAAAATTAATTATACATGTGTAATAAAGGCATAAGGCAGAACTGATATTGATGTACCTAGTTGCTTAACAACATAAATGTAGACTAGTAGTAGTTGATACTTAGTTATAGAAACTTCTAAGCGACTGCACTGACTTTTTCATGGAATGGGAGACAAAAAAAATGACACGAACACCAGTCACAATTGCGTTGCTGGTCGTTTAAGAAGAAATACAATTTGAAGGAATGATTGAAGGTCGCATTAATTTGAAAATATTGCCAGCGACAGTTCATTTCACAGCTTTTCTATGTAGGTATGTTCAGAAAATTGGGAAAAACTCTTTAACACGTTAATCGCCACGGAGGTCACCTGTGACTGAGGGTAGCAGAGGATTTCCTTTCAATATTTTTTTGTCGGCAGTCAAGACTTATCGGCACTAATAATACATTTCAATTAACTCGCACGAACTTTTTTAATCAAAACGCTTGCTTATTATAATCAAAACGCTTCCTTGGATTGTGGATTTCAATTTGTAAGCGCAGTTTCCCCACGACGATGTCACTAGTGGTTAAAAGTAAATATAGCCCGGAAAAAATTACATTTGTTTTTTATTGTAAGGAAAAAATAGAGGTTCAATTCAATTCAATTCAATATATTTATTGCATTCCACAATGTGAACTTAGGTGGTAGGGTACATAAGAATTTACATATATTAGTTTAAGAGCATTGTGGGCCCTGTCGGGCATAACAACATTTATTTATTTATTTATTTTTTTTATGAGGAGGACTAGTATTTGTACATATATGTTTACAATTTTAAGTAGGTTTATATAGCTTATTCTATCTATACTAATCTATACTATCTATTCTTATATTATAAATTAAATGCGAAAGTAAATGTCTGCAGGAAGACACCATTCCACGCGAACGGAGTCGCGGGCAAAAGCTAGTTATACATGTATTTTTAACATTTGTTTCTTTTTTTATTATTATTATAGTTTATTTAGTGAATTTATCATTTAATAAGTATATACTTCTTACTTATATGTTTATTCTATATTATTAATTATTTATTGTTGTGTTAGTTGAAATTAAAATTAAAGTTTTACATTTATTTCGACAGAGATAGATTTTATATGTAATGCATATAGTTACGACATGTACTGTTTTATTTTGTTAAGTGAGTTTATCGTCAAAGAATTCTTTTACTGTGTAATAACATTTTGTTTCCAGGAGTCGTCTTAATTTGTGTAAAAACACATTGGTTTTAGGTTCGTTTATTAGGGATTTAGGTAACTTGTTGTATATTTTTACTGACATAGTGAGGGGGCCAGTTGAGTGTATTTTTAATCGAGATGTAGGTAAATTCAATCTATTTTTGTATCTTAAGGTGAGGTTTGTTTGGATATCTTGGCGAGTAGTATAGTTGTCTGGATGTTTTCGTACAAATTTGCATATTTCGAAAATGTATAAGCAAGTTAAGGTGAGTATCTTATGTTCTATGAAGTGTGGTTTACAACTGTCTGTCTGTTCAGTGTTTGTCATTATCCGAATTAGCTTTTTTTGTAGGGTAAATATTGTGGCTGACTCAGAGCTATTTCCCCATAGAATAATGCCATATGCGAGCCATGCTTGGGCGTATGAGTAATAGGTTACGAGTGCAGTTTTAAAGTTGGTGGTTTTTTTGATTTCTCGCAGAGCATATGAGAATTTCGACAACTTTGCTCTTATGTTTTGTATGTGGGATTTCCAGCTTATGTGGGTGTCTATAGATAGTCCAAGGAGGGTGAAGACGTTAACTTGCTGCAATTCAGTATTGTTGAAGCTATAGTTGATACTTAGGGGGGGTTTTTGATGAGGGTGGAAAGTCATAATTTTAGTCTTAGTAAAGTTTATTTCCAAGTTATGGTTTCTCATCCAGTTGATTGTTGGGGAAAGAAGGGAGTTTAGCCTTTCGTTGATACCTATATTATTTTTGCATGAAGTGAGCAGGGATATGTCATCTGCGAATAGAACGCATGTCCCGTTTATAGCCTTAGGTAGATCGTTTATGTAAATTAGAAATAGCAAACAACCCAGTACACTACCCTGGGGAATTGATGCATTTACGGTTTTTATGTCTGATCTTATTTTTGTTATTTCTTTTGTGTGGTTATCGAAGTGTTCTATCTCTACTATTTGTTTTCTGTTGTTTAAATATGAGGCAAACCATTTGTGAGCATTTCCCCGAATACCTATTCCATGTAGTTTATCTAGTAAAATTTTAAATTGCACCTTGTCGTAGGCTTTTGTCATATCTAACAAAATTCCCACCGCGTAGTCTTTTTTATTTATTATGTTTAGGGCTTCCTGGATATATTTGTAGACAGCCAAAGTTGTGCACCTATTTTTACGGAATCCGTATTGACTGTCGTTTAGTATGTTATACTTTTCGCAGAAAGAGTAAACGCGGTCGCACATTGCCTTTTCAAAGATCTTTGATGCACTAGGCAGGAGTGCAATAGGGCGGTAGTTAGTTGGGTCAGTTTTATCTTGTTTCTTATGAACGGGTTTTATTAAGGATTTTTTTAATTGACTAGGGAATATCCCTTCTTCAAATGATTGGTTTATGAGTTTGAATAGGGGTAAGGTAAGTTCGTCTGCGCAATGTTTTAATAGAGATGGAGGGAGCTCATCTATCCCAAAGCTGGTTTTATTTTTGAGATTTTTTATTATCCTGTTTATTTCATAGGGTTCTACCGGACTTAGGAAGATGGTGTTTTCTGTAGGACAGACTACTGGGGTACCTTTTGGTTGGGCTTGAGTTTGGCTAGATTTTTCACCAATTGATGCAAAGAAATTGTTGAATATATTTGCAATTTTTTTGGGATCGTTCGTTAATAAATTGTCAATTTGTAAATTAATATTGGACTTTTCTTTTCTCTTTGTTTTGTTTGTTCTTTCGTTGATTATGCTCCACATAGTTTTTACTTTATTTGTTGAATTTTTAATTTTATTTATATACTGTATTTTTTTTGCTGTTTCAATGGATTTTTTTAAAGTTTTTTCATATTTTTTATAATATTTTAATAAAATAGGATTCTTTGTTTTTAGAGTAAGAATTTTAAGTAATCTTTTGTTTAGGCAAGATGTTTTTATTCCTTTTGTTAGCCAGAGCTTTCGATAGTTAGTTTTTAGTTTAACAGTTTTTTTAGGGATACACTTATTTAAAATTTTATTCAGTATATTACTAAATAAATTGTAATTTTCTTCAATATTGTTGCTTGGTAATATTATATCTAGCCAATATTGTTTAATTAGTTCGGATTTAAATTTTTGTATATTTGGTTCATTATAAAATCTTTTTTGTGTATACCACTGTGTCGTTTGTTTAGTAACGTTTTGTATTTTAGTCTGTAAGATTGTGGCACAGTGATCTGAGAGGCCTAATTCTTGAACAGAAGTATAGTTATATTTTTCATCAAAGTTTACAAATATTAAATCCAAGCATGTAGAGGTAGTTGGTGAGATACGAGTAGGGACTTTTATCAGTTGTTTAAATTTATATTCTAACATGAGTTCTAAGAATGAGTTAGATTTTAGATTGTTTTCTAGAATATTTATATTAAAATCTCCACCCAATATTACTTTAAATTTTCTGTATTTTTTGTCTATAAATTTCATAACTTGTGAGGTTGTGTCGGACTCTTACTGACTAAGAACGCCCCGTTCCTTCTTCTGCTCTTGACCAAGGCCGCGGTGCCTCATTGCGTTTACCCCACAAGCCCGGCTGAACATCAACTCTAAAGAGTTTGTGGTGGTATACTGACTCTATGAGGTGCGCGTGGAACGCAAGACGCCATACGCTTGGGTCTGGTTCTGGTCGGACGAGACGAGCTACCCTCCCTCGTCGTCCGTAGACCCTGGCAGGAGATCGTCTGTCAATCCTCGACGACGGGAGTGTTGCCTACTGTAGTTGCTGGGCGTAAGGAGGAGGATAGCTCACACGGTCCGCCTCCTTCTTAAACATAACATAACCGCTCTGCAGATATAGGAGACGGCTTCCCAGTTCCTCTCACTCAGCATCATGGCCTATCAAATTAAGACTTGCCAGATTTCAAACCGTTAATGCATCCATGCATAAATACTAAATAATCTCAAATTTGAATATAGGTATGTTGCAAATGCAATAATTTTCCATCAGAACCGGGCTGTAGCGTATTTTAAAGAATTAATGTTGCATAATAAAACCGAAAATTTAATTGTTTTATCCAAATTAAATTGAAGGTCAAGAATTAGTTTTGGAAACTGCTCAAAGATGCCTACAGTCGTTAGTCTGCTAAGAATAGTACATTTATACCACCTATACAATTTTTTGCGCAGCTTATTTCATTAATCTTTTAAAATGCACACCTATGTATGTATTAATATAAATGCTTCGAAATAATAATTAAATATAATCATCGAGCCGGTTAAGCCTGTTTATTGAGATATAAACGAAGAAGCAAGCTTATTTTTATTCTTCTTTCAAAGGCTAGACGCTTTATGATGATGCACCTGTAATAGCTACCTACAGACATAAAAAATATGACGATTGAACATGAATAGGCTATGGCTACCTTCGCAGAAAACC